ACACACCAAATTGTGTCTAATTCACTCAAGTTGTGATGTGATACCAACTTGAAACGTCCCAAAGATTTCAATAAATTTAAACTTTTAAAAATCCATTTATTAAAAAAAAATAGGGTACACAAACCATTAAATTTAATTAAAAACATTTACATAATTCGAAAGCCAATCATACCACACATGTAGTCATCCCGTACATGGCAATCTAGACATACCACATAGGTAGTCATACCACATAGGTAGTCATTCGGTATAAAGCAATCCAGACATACCACACAGGTAGTTATCTGGTACAAGGCAGTCCAGACATACCACATAGGTAGTCTTCCGATAGAAAGCAATCGAGTCATACAATATAAGTAATCATCCCGTACAAGGTAATCCAGACATGCCACACAGGTAGTCATCTAGTACAAAGCAATCCCGACTGAACAAGTAAATAGAATTTACATATTAGACTCTACACTCTCTAATACCAAACCATGCATACTATAACCATACATATTATAAGAAAAGAACATACACATTTGTATAGTGTAGTAAGAAACTCACGTCGAATATAATATGGATCACAACGAGCAACCACCAAAACTCCAATGGACTCAAGGCACTTACTTTTTCCTTATATAAGTGTTTTAGAGTATTAATAAGAAACAATAGCCTATCATTTAAACTAGTTAGTCCTAGTTCAAATTCTAGTTTTTAACCCCAAAACAACTGTCTGTTCAAGACCATTTTTTCTCCCCTTAAACCCAATCAATCAAGAATGTTATTACATATTCAGAAATTTCAGCTCTATACCTATAAATGGATATATTACACTAAGCCTACTTATTTTTCTATGATTTACTATGAATTTTACAAAACAGCATATATCAATGCAACTATATTCGAACCAATAAGTGAAAATGACAATTTTCACCTTAGTTAGATTCATCAACCGGTCAAGGAAAAAATCATCAACTGCTAGACTAAAAACCTGAACATTGGGAACTGGCTAGCTCAATTCCAATATTCCCTGATCTTTCTATAATTTTTGCAAAATATGGCAGAAACGAGCAAAATATATAATTTTCCAACTTTGTCTTCTTGGGTTAATTTGGTTCTTAGCCTCCTAATACATCATTAAACGACCCCCAAAGTTGGAAACCAATGACTTAATAGTGGATACAATGTATTGAGTCCAACTGTCACCTTGAATTTCAAACCACTACCCAAAGTATATTGTTTAAAAGAGAAATTCAAAGTGCAATGCTAGAATGGTAAAATCATGAGTATTCTAGGGGTTTATGCTTCTACTAAGGATATAATGACTCAAAGCTACCAACACGAAGCACCACCCATTGCCTATCTAGCATAGTGGCCAGTGGAGGTCGACGATGGTGGCCATGGTAGCCATGGTGATGATATATAATGTGCTTCTCGGTAGCCAGGAGTTTGTGGGGTGTGTATGTTCTACGTGTGGTATACGAGAGAGAGAGAGAGAGAGAGAGAGAGAGAGAGAGAGAGAGAGAGAGAGAGAGAGAGAGAGAGAGAGTTTTTATTAAAAAATACCATTTTAGTTTTCTAAAACAATAAAAGTTATATTACTTTTATTAAAAGTTCTTTGGAATTTAATGACTTTTTTTATTAAAAAAATATTACTTTAAACTAAAAAAGTTATATATGATTGAACCTTAATCAGGCTGGAAGAAGTATATAAATTTACAACTTACTCACTACCAAACAAAATTATATGCCAAAAAATAGAATTTAATATGATATGTGCAGGATACATACTTTTTGTGGCAGGTGTCCATAATAAGCTCTCCTTGGCACAATAATTTAGACCAAACGCTACACTTCAAGCTTGAAATTGAAAAAATCCATTAAATTAGTAAAGACAAAAACATTAGAATAAATATCACTGTGCAGATATATGTTGCTTCATAAAGGTATTTTAGGTCAACTTCGGACAAATGCTTCAAAGCTAAAAAACAATAGGGGAAGCTATAGTTAGTGCTAACTATACACAACCCTCTTCCAAGGACTCCTAGCATCCACACAAGTTTTACCACTGAAATAATAAATTTTAATAAACAACTCATCATAAATCCAGTGCTACTTGAAGCATTTAACATAATAGGGGTGATGTATTTTGTTTTTACCCATCAGAGCATTAACATGCAATTCTTTACCCATAGTAGCAAGATGCCCAATAGGAAAACATATGTCAAAAATATCAAATGACGATTTTGCCCCCATTGATACATTTGTTTAATAATTGCCATTTTCCCAAACTTAACATTTGGGCTGTTAAATTTGACAGCCATGGACCAAGATTAGAAAACAGGTCCACAAGGAAAGATGTTAAATAGATATACAGCTGGCTGATTACTCATGGTGTATTCAAATTCATGCATTTAATTTTCCGCGTCTTTTGCATTTGTAGGCTTCTTTAGCCTAAAATTTTGAGTTAGTTAGCTAATATTCAATAGTTATCCTAAAAAAAACTATAATAATATATAAAAGAAATCAAAAGATAAATCAACTTCTCAAGTATAATTTTATCCTTTCCCTTGAAGTAAAACCTCCCTGATCACAAAACTTTAAAAATGTTCACCAAAATCACCTAACTTTCGAAAATAGGTAGTAAAATCATCAAACTACCTCATCATTTTATAAGTTTTTCAAATTTACATCAAAGATTCATTTTTGGAAAACGATTTATAAAGTCTAATTATCAAATTAGAAATGAAGTCAAAGTGCATTGCTCTTTATTGCAATTTAACCCTAAAAAGAATGCATTGTACTATATATCCAAAATAACATTTCATATAGTTTACCTGAAAATTTCATGATGCAATAGAAACTCAGCTTATATTTTCTTCCCATCAAATGATATCAAGTGAGAGGTATTCAGTTACTATATATCCCCAACATGATTAACTAAAAAGTACTTCATATTTAGAAAAAAGAAAAGTTTGTGTGCAAAATATTCACCCTTGAGGAACTCCTGTAAAAACTTCCAATCTGGTCAAAATTGGAGAGAGAGAAACATGAAGAGTACCAATAAAGCAAGGATGTTCCAAACGTAAGATAACTCCATGAAGATAAAAAAATGGAATTTAAGTAATATCATGCTTCATTGATATGCAGTTCATACATATGAAAACCTTAACTCATAGCAAAAAACGCAAAATCCCAGATTAGTTTCACTTGGGCATTTCCACAAACAGTTAGCATGCATTGTCTATGCATTAGAAACAAATGAGAACAAATAAGAAAGGGAATTGAGAAATATCTTGAAACACAGAATCAAGATTTAAAACTGATACTAAATTTTCCATATGATGGTAAGCCATCTTTGATTTCTGGATAAAGGTAGAGGGGAACGAAGGTTATTACAGAGCAACATGCCTGACGTTAAATGGGAATTTGCTCTACTTTGGTAATTGGTAGCATGGATGTTAGCTACAACTCCAGGACACTATATGTTAAAATCGATAGTTATAGACAATGTGTGAAATCTGGGCTTGTTCTCTTTATATAAATATGTTTTTTTTTTGCAGATGGGAACCTCATTTCCACCACATCAGGTATGTTTTGTGGCAAATTTGTAGTGAATAAATTACAATGTATCTATTTTTTTCTTACTTTTCAGGTGGAAGGATGACCATACATCAAATTGAGGTCGAGTTTGTGTTAGAACTGAAACAACTCCTGATTCTATATTTACGTGTAGATATGTTTCTTGGGCTTGATAAATATATGAGCAGTGCAATAGTGTGTGCAAAAACTGTCAAGAAGGTATGACAGTCTCTGATTTATTTTATTTCTAGTTGTTCCAATTTATTTTTAACAAATGATTTTTCTATTGTAGAAAAGTTTCAAGATCTGATAACAATGGCAGAATTCGAAAAACCATATTTACATGAAGGATAAAGTAGCCAATGTATGTGCCATTGGATCCGTTCTTTCCTTATTTTTTGTATGTTTTTTTTTATTTATTATTTGTGATTTTGAGTCCTATAAAACTGGTTTGCAAATTCTGTCCACCAGGTGCTCGATGTAATGCCGAGGCCTCAAATTTGAAATTTTCCATCATTTGTTGATGGTAAATCCAAGTGGTGCTTCCTTTATGATTACTTTCTAAAAGAACATTTAACAGATCTTTATGTGGTTGAAAATTGTAATCCAGTCATATTGCCCTTCTATGTCCAAGGTAGGAGGATCTTATTCTTAAGGCCCATTTGATTCTCTGTAGTATCTAATTTTCTTTTCTTTCTCAGGTCATGATAATAAGCATATCCATAGATGTGAAAAGAAAAAGAAGGAATGATAATAAGTTTTGTCATTTGTTGTTGCAGGTGGTGTAACCCCAATTCCAGCTAATGGGGCCATTTCACCTACACCAAGCCTGTTATTTCTATATCAACAAATGATAAGCTGATAAATTGCTTTTCCCTTTACTGCATCTAAATTATTGGAAATAGGAGTAGACACATCCACACTTGACACAGTATTTAATCTTTTGGTTCTTTTGAGGTGATCCTGCTTTCATGTATACCTCATTTATTCTGTCCCATCTTATTAATCTATTTAGTCCTCACTAGAAAATACCCGGTCCACGAAACCTTTTATAAAACAAAAGAAAAGCTGCAATTAGGTTGAGAAAGACTTGCCTCAAAAGGGCTGATTCAATACCAGTAATATAATGACATGGGCAGATTTACTCCCCTGCACCTTGTGCACCAAGGCAAAGAAACAGATGAACTTGAAACAAAGATGAAGAGGGAAGAACAGGGGACAATAAACAGGAAACAGAGGATAATATACTTGGAGCCTAAGTACTAATTGCTGAAAAAAACTTGGTTCTTAATTAAATACAAAGAAATGTCATACCCTATTCATACTAAGTCTAAAGGTGTCCTGCTCATACACAAAAACTGGAAGAAAAAAGTATTAAATAAATAAACTTCCGAAAATACCCCTGGATCTTATTTTCTGAATTAATCCAACAGTTAATACAAACGCTCATGATCTGCAAGTTCATCAATATTCGATGTTAAGGAGCAATAACTAATCCCATTGGCCATTACTTTACCTATTAAATTTGGAAATGGAAAAATATTTTAGAATTAACTGTGTACCTTTATAAAATTATTTGATATTTTATATGAAATTATCCTATAATATAAAAGGGTATAATAAACAATATTAAAACGTTCTAGCAAGTAGTCTCCTGAGTCTAGTTGAAAAGCGGACAGATCACCACCAAGAATATGTTTCCACGACTTGTAATAACTCAAAGGATCTTCTTTATTCTCCTTATCAGTTTTATTATACACTGTACTTATTGCACACTCTCTTACCATTGCTCCATAATTTCTCAAAGGATCTTCTAATATTGTAACACAAATTTCATCACCATTTTTAATCTCATTCTCCCCAAACATCCAATGACTTAACCATACTACATCTTCATCTGTTTCTGGTAAAGTAAATATATGACCATAATATATCCAGGTGTGATTTGTTGTCACGTTCTCTACTTTAATTTTTAACCAACTTAACTTTCCTGTGTGTGTGAATGTATGCACAAAGCATATATTTATTCCTTGTATGGTTTTATTCATTGAAGATGATGGCATGGCTATTGATATTGATATTGATGACCCCTTGCTTTTATGAATATGAGGTAACCAATCTGGAACTGCTTTCCCAGGAAAACATGTGCTAAATATTCCAAATTCGGAAAACATCTGCAAATAAAACATTACATTATATGAATTTTATGCATATTAGTGTGTGTATGTGTGTGTGTGTGTTCGTGAGATCCATAGAAACAAAGCAGAAGTAAGAGAATACCTGGACTGGGAGTTTATTTGAAAAAGACAATTTATATGCATCCCATATCTGCATCTTCTGATCTTTCACATGTTGTAAATTTGTCCACCCCAAGCTACATAATATCTGCTCATCAATTTGTGCTATAGCTTGAAATTTTATTATGCCTTCAATTTCGGTCAATGACTCTCAACCCTTGTAATATACAGCTGGTGGGGTCGACATTTCTTGAGGGAATGTTATCTTAATAAGTGAAAAACACTTTTCAGTAGACAAATATTTGATTGTAGGTGGAGGGCACAATACTGACTTCAACATCCAACAATCACCAACATTGAGTACCTCAAGCCTGCTAAGGCTTCTCACACAATCCGGCAGGGAATCAATTGGATTCTTACTTAGATATAATTCCTTCAGCATTGACATGCTACTGAAGTCCTTTGGAAAGGATTCGTTAGATAAATTATTGCCTACAAGCGACAAGGTTACTAGTGAAGGTAGCAAAAATGATTTTGGAGTTTTCGGTAAAAATTCTCCAACAGAAGAGGAAGATGCATATGACTCCATATCCTTCATCCGCATTAGAAATTCACTAGCACCTAAGCAACCGTCTAATGATAAGCTTCTAACATTCTTTAACTTGCTAATGCCAATTGGAACATTATTAAGCTTACTGCATTGGCTCAAGTCAATAATAACAAGGCAATCACATCCGCCAATTGACTCACACACATGAACCAAGCTTTCAGAGCTTTTAAGAATCAACCTCTCGAGTGCAGGTAGCCCAGAGAAGCCTTCAACTCTAACAAGCTTGCAATAACTCATATTAAGAATCTTCAATGACCCAAGAACCTGTTCCATTGGATATCCTCTAATCAAGATTATTATAACGAAGATATTAGTAGTCTAAAAATTGAAGTAAAAGCTTTAATTTCATACCTTAGGTTTCTTCCAGAGCTGTAGAGACATGTCAAGAGCAACCAAATTTTCCATTGGTAAATCCGAAGGTATGACATTTGAATGGAATCCATGCATGGACAACCACCTTAAACCTTTTGGAAAATTCTTGTAAGATCCGTCCATTTTTACATTGTTGAGTTGGAGCAGCTTTAGCTTATCCATCTTTCTTAATGCATCTGCTCTTAATTCGACTTTTTTGCAACGAGAAGACGAAAGCATTAGTAGAAGTCGAGCAAAAAACGAAAAAACTCTTAAAAAGAACTCATAGACAATCTGGATTGGTTGAGCAGCTCCAAAACTCTTGTTCAGAGATCATCATTTTGGAAGTTATGCTGTGTCACATTACTTATTGATCTACATAATGTCTCTTCCCTCAATAAATTCATGTCAAGGATAAAGACCTTGAGTTCTTTGGGTACCCTATATGTCAAAAAGAAAATTACAACAAACATTAAGTGTTATATAGATGATAGAGCTAACAAATACTCATGATGACTATGTTGTGTTTACCTTGTCTTTTTTCAACAAATTGAGGGACTCCTCATGTTTCCATACTCGACTACGCTTCCATGGCTTATCAGGTGATTCTTTGCGTACTAAATCTCTCCCCATATCTTGAAGCAACTGATGCATTGTAAACTCATTATAATCTCCAATTGTGAGAAGACATCTATCGATGAGCTTTTTAATCCCATATGATGTTTGAAACCCGCATTCCTTTAATATTGTTTCTGTAAATTCTCTTTCTTTTCCAACAAAAAAGCAAGCAATGTGCTTGAAAAGTTCTTTACAGTCCCCTGATAAAGAACCAAAGCTAATTTGCAGAACATCTTGTAACAGCCCGAATTCAGGTATTCTTCTATTTTGGATTTACATGTTAATTTAGGGTTTGCACGGAAGGCAAGTACGCTGGGCGTACAATGTGTACGCTACGCGTACTCGCGTGGATCATTTTGGACGCGTTTTCCCTCAGGTACGCGGGGCGTACCCAAGGTTACGCCCGGCGTAACTCATTCAGACCCAAACCCTAATTTCCTTTGATGGGGCTATAAAAGGAATGTGTGGCTGGACTTTTCAGCCACCATCCCTCAGAGTGAAACCCTAAATAGTGTGTGCCATCGTCATTAAGCCTTTGTGTGTGCATTCTAAGTTTGTTGGTGTTATTCCAAGGTTGCAAAGGAGAAGAGGAACTTATTGGAGAGGCTAGAAGTGGTGCTCAAGAGTAGATCTGAACTTTGCAAGGGTTAAAGCTTCATTTTCAGGTAAAAAGTTCGGATTTTGCCATTTGGTTTATGTTATGTGCTTAAGGTATCATTTTCTAGGGTTTAAGTCCCCAAAGGTGGAGACTTTTGTGCAAATGGCCTCCATAAGCCTAGATACTTCATATTTCTGATCTATTGGAGTTGTAGACTCATAAAAATGGCATCTTGGTCGTGGGTATTGCACCATGCATGAGATCTAGGTCCATGAGTTTGAATAAAAGGTTGTTGTGTGATGATGGAGCCTTTACAGCCATGCCAAGGCTTAAAGGTCTCGACTTTATGGATGTAGACACACTGAAAGATTCGGATCTAGAAGTTGTAGTATTGGCTTAACCGATTAAGACCAGAAATGGAGGGTGGTTGAATCTAGCAGTTACGCAGGGCGTAACTCCCAGTACGCGCCGCGTACTGGGTAGAGACCCCGACCCAGGGGGGGAGGTTGGCGATGTACGCCCCGCGTACATCTATCAGTAACCCCGCGTACTATAATGTTGACTTTTAGGGTTTTGGTCAATTTGAGGACTTTAGGTCAAGGAAGGGTAAAATGGTCTTTTACCCTTTCAGGAATGATGATAAGGGGTAAGTTTTAGTGGTGGAAGTCTTTGTGTATTAAATGATATATTTATGTATAGGCGAGGTTGAACCGTCATTTGGATTCGGTGATAGCAAGACACGAGATCTTAGACTTTCCACGAGGTGAGTCTTCTCACTATACTGTACCCTGAAGGGTTTGACTGTGTGACCGGAATGTCGAATATGATATGAGATATATGCCTTATGTGTGATAAGTTATTCGTTATATGTGCCATGTATGATATGCTTGATTTGGGCCGGAAGGCAACATGTTATGGGCCGGAAGGCGTGGTTATATGGACCGTAAGGTTGACGTGGGTAGGACCAGAAGGTTTACCCAGTCGGGACAGAAGTCCCCTGAGACACATGGACCGGAAGGTCGAGGCCTGGAAAGGCGTACGTGCGTAGGTTGTATTTTGGGGAACTCACTAAGCATTTATGCTTATAGCTGTTGTGTTATGTGTTTTAGGTACTAGCGAGGACCGTGGGAAGGCACCGGTGTGATCGTACACACACTCGGGGAAACTATTTTGTGATCTTTTGTTATGTAATCGGTCGTGACGAATTGTTACATTGGAACCTAAACTTATTACTTAATGTTTTGATGATTGTAAAAATGAAAAAATTTTCGTTTCGGAATTTATGACGTTACAAGTTGGTATCAGAGCCTTGGTTTGAGGGATTCGAGTACACCTTCGGGCGTAACTGAACTCAAACCGGGGATTTGAGAAAATTTTAATTAATAAATCAATAAAAATTTGATAAGTGATTTTGAGACAACCAAAGAAGAAAGAGTGTGTACGATCAGCCAGCGCCCGAACGGTAAAATCCCCAAGATACTCTTACAATATGTGTTATGAGATACAATATGATATGATACGCATGCTAGTAGACTAGGTATACATATTAGGACTAGAGTGGCCTGATTTTGTGATGCCTTAGTCTAGGGAAACCTGCTTCTATGAGGTGCTTGAGAGCGAGTGGGTAACTAGTGTATGACAAGAATAGAGTACTCAGGATTCGGGGTTCGGGGAGGAGGACTTAGGGTGAATACCGACGCGGTGTAATTGGTAGTATTGGGCCCGTACTACCAAGGACACCGGGTCAGTGGGCAGCCCAAGTAAGAATCCCTGGGTACGGAGACTGAGTAGGACTGCGTTATCGAGTGCGATTATGCCCGATAGAGTCTCTGATATTTTTATGTTGTATTTCAGAGACATCATGGTTGGACCACGACACAGACCTGGTACGAGTGGTGTGACTGACGAGGAGCTTCGTCAGATGATTCATGAGGAGGTAGCTGCAGCGATCCGGGCCGAGATTCCGGAGATGTTTGGGTCTATTAAGACCACGCTGATGGAGACATTTGATGAGCGGTACGCCGCGTTGACTGAGGCTGCCGGCTGCAGCTACCGCAGCTGTGGCCGCTGCCAGACCACAGGGGGGTGACTCGTTGCTGTTCCGGGAGTTCAGCAACACGAAGCCACCAGAGTTTGACGGACGCAGGATCCGATTGCTGCGATGAGATGGATTGCTGATATCGAGGGATGCTTCTATACTTGTTCATGTCCGGAGCATCTGAGGGTACGGTTCGCCTTGAACCAGCTCCGCCTGGGAGCAAAGGATTGGTGGAAGTTCGTGACGGCAAACTTCACTCTGGCAGAGGTCTCAGCTGTGACTTGGGAGAGGTTTACTGCTATGTTCAGAGACGAGTATGTTCCCCCGGTGAGAGGGAACGGTTGGTTCAGGAGTTCTTGACCCTCAAGCAGGGTAATGATTCTGTTACGGTGATCACGCGGAAGTTTCATGAGAGGGCGATGTTCTGCCCCGAGCAGGTGTCCACGGAACAGGCTCGGATGAGTCGGTATTTGGGAGTGCTGAGGAGGGATATCCGGGAGTTCGTATCGAACTCGTCATATCAGACTTTTGCTGAGCTTCAGGCGAATGCCAGGAAGCGTGAGATCGAGTTGGAGACCCAGGCCAGGGAGGAGGCCGAGTCTCAACGGGTGGATCGGCGGCCGGCTCAGTCTCAGCCGGCAGCCAAGCGGACCAAGTCCGCCGATTTGAGATCCGGAGGTCAGAAGGGCCGCACTTGCGGAAAGTGCGGCAAGGGTCACGAGGGGGCATGTCGATCGGGTGCTTGCTACAAGTGTGGCAAGGAGGGGCACATTGCTAGGGATTGCCCCAAGGGATTCATGGTTTGCTTTCATTGCAACCAGACCGGCCATCGGAAGGCCGAGTGCCCCCAGCTTCGCCAGGGATCTACGCCTGCTGCCAGGGTTCCCGAGGTTCGGCTAGTGAAGGCCGAGGCCCCGAAGGCTCGTGGAAGAGCTTTCCAGTTGACTGCGGAGGAGGTCCGCGCGGCACCTAATGTTGTGGCCGGTATGTATTCTTTCATGTATTTACATTCATTCTGAGATATTGTGCTTATATTATTATATGCGTAGGTACTTTTCTTGTGAATCATGTGCCTGCTTTAGTATTGTTCGACTCAGGTGCGAGTCGGTCTTTTGTTTCGTTGGCTTTTAGCCAGCACATCGGTATCGGTCGGGAGGTGATGAGCCGACTCCTACGAGTTGCTATAGCAAATGAGAAAGCGGTATACACCACGGAGGTGATCCGAGGATGCGTGCTCGAGATTTTTGGGGTCGAGTTTCCTATAGACTTGGTCCCTATAGCTATGGGGGATGTCTGCGTTATCGTGGGCATGGACTGGTTGAGTAAGTTTGGAGCAGTCATTGACTGCGAGAGACAGTTGGTGATGATTCGAGACCCTAGTGGGCGAGTGCTCACGGTTTATGGCGAGGGGACCCGGTGTGGGTCGGCGTTTTGTTCGGCTGCCAGGGCAAGGAAGAGTTTGCAGCAGGGCTGTAATGGATTCATAGCCTATATGATGGATACTCGAGTGGCCGCGGGGAGGCCCAATTCGATTGATGACGTTCCGGTGGTATGCGAGTTTTCGGATGTGTTCCCCGAAGAGTTACCGGGTGTGCCTCCGGAGAGGCAAGTGGAGTTTTGTATCGATTTGGTTCCAGGAGCGGCGCCCATCGCCAAGGCGCCTTACCGTCTCGCTCCACCGGAGATGCAGGAATTATCCTCGCAGCTTCAGGAGCTGTTGGGAAGGGAGTTCATTCGACCGAGTAGCTCACCTTGGGGAGCACCGATTTTGTTCATCAAGAAAAAGGATGGTTCACACCGGATGTGTATCGATTACCGGGAATTGGACAAGTTTACGGTTAAGAACCGGTATCCGTTACCTAGGATCGACGATCTGTTCGATCAGTTGCAGGGGGCATCTTGGTTTTCCAAGATTGACTTGAGGTCGGGATATCATCAGATGAGGGTTCAAGAGGAAGATATCCAGAAGACTGCTTTCAGGACTCG